CAAAACCCCAAAACCCCAAAACCCCGCAAGTTAAAAATAACTTAATAAATTGGATTGATGAAATAAACTTTAGGTGAGAAATAATTATAGAAACAACAGAGTTTATCTTTTAATTAATACTGTCAACTTTATAAATGTGTGAGGTTTCTATTATAAATGCAGTCAATTTTTCATCAGTAAAGCTGCCATCTCCATCAAGGGTTTGATACAATTAAGATAGCTTTCAGCCACATTTGTATTGGGTAAAGTTACAGCTGAATCATAAATCTTGATTAGGAAATTGCCATGAACAGGTAAAATAATCACTCCCTTACCTAAGCCATCGACTGCATGCAAAAGATCTGGCTCGTATTACACCAAGAAAACTATAATAGAAAATTAGTTGCTATGAGATATAAATTCTTACATTTTCTTTTGACCATCATTATTGGGTTTTTTGGGTATTTCATTAAATTAAAGTCTTCATAAAACTTAACCAGCTCACATTAGTGTGGTACTCCTAGATACTCATGAAAGTTAGCAATATTTGAGTCTTAAGGGGGTTATAGGTCAACATTCCCTTCTTTATAAGTTTTTTTTTAGTAGAAGATTAGGAATGGAGGATTGTATTAGTACTCATTGTAAAGTGTGAAGAACTTCTTATTCTTGACCATGTTTTTATGTAAAAGCAGTTCAATCTAAGCCAACTTAGGTGTGTTTTTGACTATCAAGTCCCAGGTCATAAAGTCCATTTCATTCATGAAACCTTACCCTCCATACTCTCCATCTCTGTAGTCATCCTCATCCTCATCATCGTATTCATCCATCATTCTATTGCTACTATTAATATTGCCATCAGCATTCATCATCTTTAAATTGCTAGTACTATCATTCAGAAAAGTGCCTCTAAGTTTAGCAAAGTTGGGATCATTCACACTACCCTAATAGTAAGTTTAATGCTCTCGAAGTCTTCTGTTGCCTCTCTCATTTGAAGATGATCCCAGTGATGGGTATATTTGCTATCCAGGCATCAGCACATTATTAGAGCCAGAGTTAACAGTGATATTTGGGTTTGGAACTGCTCTAATTGAATTAGGACCGATAATTATTGTTGGCTGATTAGGGGGGTACACAGTTGGGATCTTTGGTTTATTTGACTAATCGTTAGATTGATTATTCGAATGGGCTTTGTCTTAATTATTGGTTAATATACTCTCCTGCTTTATTTAATTTTCACTTTCTGATGCTTTTTAATCCTACTGCAGATCCTCCATACTTTATTATTTGCGGAAAAAAATGTATTATTATATTAATTTTATAAATTTATAATACTTCAAATATTTTATTCATCATCATCATGGGGTTTTGGGGTTTTGGGGTTTTGGGG